GGCGGGGAGCGGGGCGCCGACTCCCGAAGGTGTCGCTGCCGGCTCTCCCTCCGGGGAGGCAGGGAGGTCAGTCCCGGAGACCTGGGACCGGGGCGGGGGCCGAGCCGGGGGCGGCCCCTCCGACCTGCGCGCAGCCTGCGCTTACCTCGTCCATCCCGGAACATGGACCGCGCCCGCCTCTGGCTGGGGCTGCTGCTGCCCTTGGTGGCCGCGCTGGACTTCAGGTACCACCACCAGGCAGAGATGGAGGCGTTTCTGAAGGCTGTCGCCCGAAACTACAGTTCCATCACCCACCTGCACAGCATCGGGAAGTCCGTGAGAGGTAGGGCCGGCGCGAGCGCGTCCCCCGCCCGTCCCCGTCCCCGTCCGCGTCCCCCTCGTCGCGCGCCCTCGCGCCCTGGCCCCGCGGTGGGCTGCGCGGGCTCCGAGCCGGGCGGTCCTCGAGTTGTTCCCTCTGGGCCGGGAGTGGCCGGGACACCCGGTTCTGCTGCCGTCTCCGCGGTCGCCCGGCGTCGCTGAGTCCTGCGCGTTCGTGCCGTCCTGTCATTTTGCGTCTTGCAGACCTGGCTTGCCCGGGATGTGTGTTTCAGTTCCTTTTGTGGATGAACTTCTGCCAAGGAAGTCCGTTTATCCATCTCAGGTTTCCCTTCTCGTTGGCTTCTTTAAATACGACTCGGAATGTTAGTATCATTTCAAGTCTCTTTTAAACTAAAACAGTGCTGTTCTGTTGGTGAGATTTCTATGTCATGTATAATTAGCCATAGGGCTTAAAGTTATGCAAAACTGTCATTCCTACAAGTTTCTTTTAATCTTAAACAGTACAGTCCTATTGGTAAGATTTGTGTCATGTATAATTAGCCCTGCAGCTTAAAGTTAGGCAAAAAAGTGGCTCTGATACTAATTAAAGGCGGGTTTTAAAATTATCTATTTGAATAAGACAGTTGCTGGAAAATACATATGTTAGCAGTGATTGCTACTGCTCCTAGCATTTTCACATTTATCATTTAATTGCTTTATTGTTTTAATTTAGAAACTATATATTAAGTTTAAATATATAACTGTATATTATGTAATTCTTATTTTTCTAGATGGGGAATCGTAGAGAAATTAAGTAATTTTGCCCAGGATCACCCAGATAGTGAGTTTTATCACCAGGATTGTGACTCAGATCACTCTACTTCAAGGCTTAGACATTTTGGGGACAAGACAGATAATTTTATCAGATAGTATTATTTTTCAGTCCTCTTTTATTATATTGTTACTCCCAAAGAGCTTACCAGAAAACTTAATGCTTAAATCAAAAGTTTTGTCAAGTTTATGCAATTTGGATCTCAACTCCTTATAAGGTGTGTTCAAACTCTACCTGGATTTTAGCTCTGAGCTTTTGAGCCAATCAGGAGTCTCTTAATTACCATATTCTTAATCATTTTCCCTACAAGATTAAGGTTATGGTTTTTATATTAAAAAAGTAGTATTACATGAATTTGCTTATGTGCAGTGCAAAATAAAAATCCTGGCCTGTGTGTGTAATGGTACCTTTGTGTTTAGGCAACATTGCCAAAGAGTTGATGCCAGAATTACTCTATATTGCTCTATAATCCAAAATTATAGAGGTTGGATGTAGGAGAAATCATATCTTGAATCAGCATTTGGATTCAACCTTTTGAAATCATTTCCCTGTAGGGCTAGAGAAGAGCAATTTAAAAAGATCTAAGAAACTAATTATATTAATAAAGGAAACATAGAACACAACTAGCTTGAGTTGTTGTTCAGTCATCACTTAAACCACAAGATGAGGAGGATGTTGTTAATTTTAAGTACTAAGTGATTTGGTAAGTTTTTATTTTTTTCAAGCACAAAGCGCTTGTGAAAGGAAGTTGGGCACTCTCTTTCTTAATGTGAGCCAGGTATTTTGATCTCTCCTGCATGATATCAGACCACAATAATAATGAAAGCCAGCAGGCTTCTTTTTTTTACCTTGTATGCACTCTTGTGGTTAGTTAAAGGACTGAGGAGTTATCATGTAAAAATAAAATCTGACACTAGTGGTCAAATGTTTGTGTTGAGTATGTTCTGAATAATTACTCAGACTAGGAAAAAATCCCAAATCTGCTACTAGGTTCCAAGTGTTAGGTTCAACTGTGCCCTAGTGACAAGGCGTTGGTTACACAGCATCCCTGCAGGCTAGCATAGGCACGGAAGACGGTGCTCCTCTGATGGCCCTCTTTTCACCAGACAGGCCTCGCCGACCTGCCCTCTGGTATAAGGTAAGTTTGCCTGGCAAACAGGGCTTACCATGTGTTATTTATTTTTCTTTTTTTATTGTGAACGTGGGCAGCCTACTCAGAAGGGAAAGTAATATTCCTACCTCACCAAATGTTTTTTCAGTTTTTGTAAATGCATATCACATATATATTTACATTGCTGTAAACATGGATTCTATTCTGCGTTTTTCCCCAATTTGCATTATTTCATTCCCTATTTCCATTCATTGACCAAGTCTGCAGATGTGGATTGGTTACTATATGGTGTTTTACCACCTTGATGATGTGAATTTTCGTAGTCATTCACCTCTTTGGGGCATCTGTATAGTTTCTTTCTTCTTTTTTTTGGTGAGGAAGATTAGCCCTAAGCTAACCTCTGTGGCTAATCCTCCTCTTTTTCCTGAGGAAGATTGGCCCTGAGCTAACACCTGTGCCCATCTTCCTCTATTTTATATGTGGGACACTGCCACAGCATGGCTTGATGAGCAGTGCCTAGATCCGCACCCGGGATCCAAACATGTGAATCCCTGGCCACTGCAGCAGAGCACAAGAACTTAACCAGTACACCACCGGGCCAGCCCCTGTATAGTTTCTGATGATTTCTGTTAGAAACAGTGATGCTGTAAACCCATTGATACATGTCATGATAATTACCTTCTATTATAATTGGTGATTCTTTTCAGCTTTTTATTTTGAAATGTTTGAAACACACAAAAGTTGAGCATACACATGCCCTTCACGTAGATTCAGCCAGTGTAGACTGACCATATGCAGTTGAGCATTTTGGAGGAAACCCCACTATCCAATGACGTAGTAAGAAAATCTTAGGTGAAACAAGAGAAGCCACTCAAAAAAAGAACTGACACCTGAGTTGAGAAAAACCAGAAAAGGTTCAATGTTCATTGGTTCGTTCATTCACTCCTCCATTCAGTTAAGGGAGCACCTCCCTTTTCCTTTTTCCTCCTAACCTCCTTTGTTGAGCAGGATGGCTGGCACATAATCAGTAATCTCTATGTTTGTTTAATGGATTGAAAATTTGCTGAGCAAAAGCCGTGAGAAGCAAGCAAAGATGTGTGCCATTTGTTCCCTGCCCTCAGGAGCCCCCTTTAAAATAATAATTTATTTATTGTGGATTTCCCCAGCTAGGCTCTCCACACCCCAAAAAATTAGTTCTCAGACCATTTTAAATGAGATTTCCTACCATCTCTATTGTAAGAATCTTGTCTTGCCTCCTGCTAAGTCTAACCTTTATCTGAATAAGGAACCTTGCAAAGGGAAGGGATAGATAATAAAAATCTCTGTTATCAAGTGCATTCCATGTATTAGGTGTTCCAATACATTATTTCAATCTCAGCAACTCAAAGTAGGCATTATCCTTGTTAAAGAACAGGTCAAAGGAGACACAGAGGAGTTAATTAACTTGCTGAAGATCACACAGCTGAGAAATCTTATAGGGAGGATTCAAACCCAGATCCACATATCTGCCAAGCACATCTCTTTAAGGAAGCAGCTGGACACAGATGTGGATGATTACATGGAGAGGGAGGTTGTTGGTGGAGGGTTTCAGAGTCATGGTTTGGGCACATTTGATCTAAAAGTATGGCATCTGCCAAGGATCTGTAGCTGTGTTGTCCAGTAGAGTAGCCGTTAGCCACTTGGCCACTGAGCAGTTGAAATGTGGCTAGACCAAACTGAGATGTGCTGAAAATGACTTGGAAGACTTAATGTTAAAAAAGTAAAATATTCCATTAATAGTATTTTTCTATTGATTACATGTTGAAATGGTAATATTTTAGCAATATAGGTTAAATAAGAAATACTTTAAAATTAATTTCACCTATTTCTTTTTACTTTTGTTAATGTGGTTATGGTTACTAAAACATTTTGAATGACATATATGACTTGCATTGTATTTTGTTTGGGCTGTGCTGATCTAGAGAGAAATTTGTCATTAGTAATTTTTTTCTGAGCACAAAAGGAATTCAAGTTTATTTAGAAAATCTGGAGGATAAAACAAAGCACCAAGAAGAAAATTAAAATCTCACCATCCAAAGGAAACATTCATTAGACTGGAATCACTGTGTGCCCTGTTTTGTACATTGTCCTCCTCCCACTGAGCCAAATATCTTGTCTGTGCAAACACGTTATTTCTAAAACTTGATTTTTAATGCCTGCTTTGTATCTTGTCAGTGGATGTACTATTGTTTATGTAACTTACACCCGGTTGATGGACATTTAGTTTGTTTCTGAACTTTTCCTGTTATAAACAATGCTGTAGTGAACATCTTCGTAGCTAAGACAGCAAAAGTTGTCAGCACAGGCTTTGGAACTGCAGTGCCCAAGTCCAAATTCTAGATCCTCTACTTTGTAGCAGTGTGACCCTGGGTTGTTAGAATAATTCCTGGCACACAGTAAGTGCTACATAAAACAAAAAGGGAATTACTGAGTCTTAAGCAGTTTTACGTATTTGATACATATAACCAAGTTGCCTTCCGGAAAGATTGTATTGATTTATAATTTCACGAGAAATGTATGCTAAGAAAAAAACAACCCTTCTAAATCTTATACGAGTCATCAATCAGTACTGGCATTAGTCGTTTGAAAGATTACTGCAGTATTTGTCAAAGGGTACAAAGTTTCAGTTATACAAGATGAATACGTCCTAGAGACCAGCTGTATAGCATAGTGCCTGCAGTTGACAGTACTGTATTGTATACTTAAAAATTTGTTAGGAGGGTAGATCTTATCTTGTGTTCTAATAATAATAATGAAAGATTACTGTAGTATCAATTTTTCATTGTTGTGTTTAAAGTATAAGGGAGAATTTCTTTCTTGTGCTTTTTCCCCAAGAACTCTCACCTTCACATATTCATTCAACAGATTTATTGAATTCTGCCAGGAATCTTCATACCATCTCAGATGCGCAAAAATCCCCCTGGAATTGGCTTAGATTCCTACCCCAAAGAGAGACACAGATCTCTCACTGTCTACTGCCCTTTACTGGGCAGATTTGGGCTGGGATTTGCCCTCAGAAAAGAACATTGTGAATAAAATTTTG